CAGCAGGATCAGAACCACAGCAAAGATGACGATGACAACCACCACCACAGCAGCAACGATGGCTCCAGAACCTGGGGAGGGGGGAGAGATGGCCACGTGCGGGCAGAACGCAGGCTGGCAGGGGCCTGCAGTGGCACCTGACGTTCCTGCTGGGCCTGGGGGAGGAGGGGAGTGGGCGACGTCCTGGGACACTCACTGTTGACCCCAGGATCTGTCACGCGTACAGTGGCCGTGCGCCTTACCCCCAGAGGGGCTTGAAGCTCACTCCTCGGACACTGTCTGCCAAAACTCTGCCTTAGGCCAGTTCCTACTCTTCTTTCCCTTTCTTTTTCTTTTATTTTGTGCTAGCGGGCGCGTGTGCTCATCCGAGAGAGGGAGAGACAGAGAGAGGGAGAGAAAGCACACTTTCTCCCCCCTGGAGCCTGGTCACACTTCTCATCCCTTCGTCTTCATTTCTGCACCTGTCGGGATTTTTGAGCAGACGTGCACTAGCACCTGGTGTATTTCTCAAACCGCCGGGTCCAGGACTTGAACCACATGGGTGGCCACGTGGGACCTGGTTGCCTTAACCACCAGGCCAGAGAGTCAGCCCAAGGTCAAGTCCTATTCTTATCAGCCCCAGCACAACTTCGAGCTCCTGTGAAACACAAGCCAAACTCTCCCCTCTTTTTGGGAGAGTAATACAAAAGTAACATGGGGTTTTCGTAGATACTTTTGAAATCTAAATACAAGGGGAAAAAAGGAGGATTGTGGCTCAAGACTTCATTGTTTCCAAGGACCACGTTGTCAATCTTTCTTTACAATACACATACATTTTGAAAAATATGAATAAACGTGAAATCTTAAAAGCTAAAAGAAAAAAAATGTACTCAAACTACAGTCAGCCAGGTGGGATCCAGCTGCCCTAACCACGCGGCCAGCTGGTCCCATAATACAGATTCTCTATGAACTTCTTGTAGACGTCTCATATTTGCCAGCAGCAAGGAGTTCCCAGAAAGGAAGACGTAAGGGCAATCCTTCAGAACACCAGGAGGGTGTCCGAGGGGACGCTCAGGCCCATCTCAGCCTGCTGTGGATACGCACCCTCGATACTCTGTACGGAGCGGGCTCCCTGCACTCCGGAGAGCTCCCCCATGGCTCAGCGGCTTCAGGCTGGATTAATGGCAGGACGTGACTCTCCGTGGAGAGTCAGCCCCCAGAAGGGGCTGCTCTTGGGACAGGGTCTCACAGGTTACCTTGCCCGTTCTCGGGTAGGCAGCCCTACAGGGCCTGCGAAGGGGGTCTCAAAGCAGTTCTGAGGCGGCCAGCAGGTGGCGTCATGGTTAAGGTGCTGGACTGCTACGTGGCCGACCACAGTTTGAAACAAGCAAATAAAGGAACAGTTCTGAAGGAAAATGCAGGGTCAGCCCATCCTGTGTCCATTGTACTAGAAGTGGTGGTTCTCAGCTAGGGCATTTTGCCTCTCTAGACAGGATTACCAGGTCTGTCAGATACAAATGTAGGAGGTTCTCAGTAGGTGTGCCATGCAATACCTAGATGCACTCACACTAAAACATTCTATCATTGGTCTGAAATTCTAATGGAAGTCCTCATTTAAATCTGTCACTCCTACCGCCATTGCCATTTGGCAATGTCTGGAGACACTTTGGGTTGTCACAACCGGGGAGCGGTGCCAGGGGATGGGGAGACTACAACTGCCACCTGGTGAGTAGAGGCCAGAGTTGATGCTGAACACCCTCCGATGTGTAGAATGGTTCCCCACAGCAGAGTCCTCCAGCTGAGGCTGAAAACCCTGAATTAAAGTGGTGTTATGGGGTCAGCATGTGGCATGGGGCTTAAGGCTGTGGCTGCCACGTGGCCGACCACAGTTTGAAACAAGCAAATAAAGGAACAGTTCCGAAGGAACATGCAGAGTCAGCCCAACCTGTTTGTCCTGGTCCCGGAGGCATGTGTGTATGTGCTTTGCAGGCCCCAAATCCCAAGAGGAGAATAGATGAGAAGGGATTGTGGCATGGCCAACCCCCTCGGGGATGATTTCTCACTCTCTCCATCTCTCTCTGGCAAGTGCATGTACCCTGTGGCAAAAAGTGTTTAAAAATATGAAAGCAGCTGCATGTTAAGGTGACCCATTGAGAGACATCCTACAAGATGGCACATTTTCTTGCCGCCTGAGCTCCAGGCCTCTCCGAGGGCAACAGCAGTGGCAGTGGCAGTAGCAGTCTGACTCGGCCTGCACCAAGGACTAGCCTAAACTCTGCGGGATTAGCTGTTTCAATCCTCACAACTACCTCATGGGGTCACTTCATGGACATCGCCATTGGGCAGCGGAAGGGACTGAAGCACGGAGCAGTGGAGCGTGCTCAGGGCACGCAGTCGGCATGTGGGGGAGCCGGGGCAGAGACCAGCCCTCCGCCTCCAGCCCACGCTCCTGACCTGCACCCAGGCTGTGCACCTGGAGCTCCCCATGACACTCGTCTGGCCACCCCTCCCCCGGCCTCCAAGCCAAGTGGACCTTACTCTTATAGAGGAAGTCTTCTCCCCTGGTGGTCATGTTCAACGAGAAGAAGGTGGTGTCCCCCAGAGCGGTGGCTGTGGTCATCTTGATCGTGCTGGGAAGGAAGAAGACATGTTTAAAATGGGACTGAGCCTTACTGTCCCTGTGCGACGCCTCCTTTGATCTCCTTGAAGACACTTCAGAAGAGTCAAGCATGCAGCTTTCTCGTGGCGACAAGTAAATATCAGACCCATTACTAGATACTGTGGGTATTAAAAATAGCGTCTGACATATTTATACGGAACTTCGTTTTTCTCTCTCTCCAAGCTCTGAAGGGTGGGCCTGGTTTGGAGGTGAGCTAGAATAAGAGGCAGGTGCATGGAGTCCTCAATGGGAGGGAGTTAACGCATGCTGGGCCACTAACGGGTACCGGCTCCAACTCAGGCGCCTTCAGCTACCGCTTCTCACGGAACCTCCCAGTCCCTGACCGCCCTCACATTGCCTAGCTGAGGCTCAGAGCAGTGGAACGACTCATCCACAGTCACACAGCTAGGGAGGGTGGAGCTTGGCCTCAGACACACTCTCTTTCTACCTGACACCACTGGGAATCAAAAGTCACAAGTTTAAAGTGTTCTACTTGAAGGGTGAGCCAGGAAGAATATAATTAGTATGCTGTCAGGCCTCCAGAAAGACTGCTGAGGTCCTCCACCAAGAATTATATTCTTCTTCTTCTTTTTTTTTTAAAAGACTAGTTTGGGGACCAGTAGTTAGTGTAATGGCTATGTCGCTGGACTCCCATGTAGTCAACCGCGGTTCGAGTCTGGGATCTGGTTGCTTAAACTCATGTGTGTGTGCATGCCCAAGATCCCAAGAGGAAAATGGAGGAGAAGGGATTGCAGCATGACCATCCCCCCTGGGGGATGATTTCTCACTTTCTGTTTCTCTGTCTGTCTCTGTCTTTCTGGCAAGCGTACACACCATGTAGCGAAAACTTCTCCCCCCCCAAAAAAAAAGACTTGTTGTAATTAATTAATCTATTTATTTTAATTTGACCACAAAGGGACAGACTGAGACAGAGGGAAAAGTGAGAAAACAAGCCACCAGATCTGGGACTTGAACCACTGTCGGTGGTGGGAGTCCAGCACCCTTAACCATCACACCATCTGCTGGCCTCCTAAGAATTATATTCTAAGCACAATGATACTATAAATAGTTCTAAACCATATGAATCAAGAAAAGAAAGGGGCCAGTTTGGCGGTTAAGGCAGCTGGATCCCACATGGCCAGCCTCATGGTTCAAGCCCTGCACCTGGTGGCTTGAGAAACACGCTAGGCATAGCTATGAATGTGACCAAAATCCCAAGAGGAGAGTGTATGGGAAGGGATGGAGGGAGGCATGGCCATCCCCCTCAGTTCACCTCTCTTTTTCTCTCTCCAGGGAGCACACATGCCCCAGAGGGAAAACAAAACAAAACAAAATAGTAACCAGCACTTGGCGTAATGGCTATGTCGCTGGACTCCCATGTAGTCGACCGTGGGTCGAGTCCCAGACCCGGTGGCTTAAACTCATGCCGAGCGCATGTGCGTGTGTGCCCAAGATCACCAGAGGAGAATGGAGGAGAAGGGATTGCGGCATGACCATCCCCTTTCGGGGGGGTGATTTCTCACTTTCTGTCTCTCTGTCTCTCTCTGTCTTTCTGGTGAGCACACGCGCCCAATAAGAAAAAAACCTCTCCAAAAAAGACAAAAAAAAAAAAAAAAAAGGAAACTAACTGGATTGGCTTCATTATTGTAGAATACAACTTTTACTACAGCTGCTGACGACTTGGAGGCCCGTGAAGATCTACAGCAACAGAAGTATCTAGGCCTATTTGTAATTTTTAAAATTTATTTTATTTTAGTTTTTTGCTGTAGGGTACACTCACTGGAAAGAGAGGAAAAGTGAGAAATCACCCCTCAGGAGGGATGACCATGCCGCAATCCCTTCTCCTCCATTCTCCTGGGATTTGGGGCACACACACACACACACACACACTCACGATCCCAGAGTGATTTTCCAACTTCCAGGTCCAGGACTCGAACTGTGGTTGGTCATATGGGAGTCAGGCACCTTAACCACCACACCACCTGCTAGCCCCAACTTATTTGTAGCTCTAAAAACTCATTCCACGTACTGGAGAAGAGACAGTATGCGTATATGTGCATATATGCACGGGCGTGCTTTTTTTTTTTTTTTTTGGCGGGAAGGCATGCAATCTTGCTGGAGAGAAATGGTGAGAGAGAGGGAAGGTGGGAAAGCGCCCCTGGTAGGAGAGGCCACGCCACAACCCCCGCTCCTCCACTCTCTTCTCTCAGTTTTGGGCACACACACCAGCATGTTTCCCAGACACAGAGGTCGGGACTCGAACTGTGCTGCAGGCTGTGTGGGATCCAGTCGCCGTAACCACCTGGCCACCAGCCGGCCCTCTACACAGGTTTAGTACGTGGGCCAGTGTGGTGCGTGGTGAGATGCCGTGCTCTGCAGGCTGGGCCCACGTGGGCGGTCCGGTCCAGGTCCTGGGCCAACCTGAAGGCTGGTGTGTGTGTATGCGTGTGTGTGTATGCGTGTGTGTGATCCCAGCAATATGGGGAGAGAGAGGATGGGGGTCACGAGCTCAAGGCTGTTCTGGGCAAGACAGCAAGGCCCTGTCTGCGCTGGGTGCACGGTGGTCCCAGCGACGTGGAGGCTGAGGCAGGGCAACTGCGATACACGGAGACCCTACCTAAAAGGAAAAAAAAGATTGCGCATAAATTTCTTTTATTTTTAAAGGTAAAACTACCTTTAAAATTTAAGTCTCTTTTGTATTCTATCTCTTCTCATTTTCTCCCTCTCTCCAAATAATCATTTGTGTATATTCTCATCAAAGAATTATTTATTTAAGTTTATTCATTATTATTATTTAAATTTTCTATAGGGCACATGTACTCACCTGAGACAGAGAGAGAAAAAAAAATGAGAAAGCAAGCTGCTTGATCTGGGACTTGAACCATGGTCAGCCATGTGGGAGTCCAGTGCCTGCCTTAACCACCATGCCACTTGCCGGCCCTCATCAAAGTTTTTAAGTGTTTATACATACGTGTAGATCCGTAAACGATGTGTATTTTGTGGTTCTACATATTTACTAAACACACATCAACTCACCGAACGCTGTTCTGGGGCCAGGGGTGGGTAGTGACTGAGGAGACACGCTCTCCGCCTCGGAAGCGCACGCACCAGTGCGGGGACAGATTGAGGCTTGAGCGTGTCGTTCTGGGGCTCAGAAAGCACTGCCCCCAGCTCCCCACCCCGTTCCTGTGTCTGGCCGTGAGCTGGCTGTTCCCACCCTCCCTATTCCAGCCTCTCCAGCTCACGCCGACCTCTGGTAAACTGCATGCCTGGTCATTGCTGCCCCAAACTGTGGCCTCCCAGTCCCCACAGATGGTCTCTCCTCAGAGACCCCAAGCACAGGCTGCAGCCCTCTCTGTCCCCTGCTGCCAGCTGGGGGACCTGCACTCCACCTGTGGCATCCGCCGGGGTCAGGCCCCCTGCACGCGGCCAGGAGCTCTGGCAGCTGTGCCCTAACCCAGGCCCTCTGAGGCCTGGCCATGCTGACCCGGGGTGGGCTCTGCCTTCACTGCCTCTGCCTCCTTTAAGCCCAGGCCCTGCGGCCCTCCCCTGTTCTCGCTGCCCCTCCCGGAAGACCAGATCCTCAGGCTCCCAGAGGAGCCGTGTGGCTCCGTCCAACCTCTAACACCTGCCAGCCTTCCTGACGGGCTTCCCAACCCACTGCCTTCAGCAGGCCCTGCTCCGCTGCTCCCAGTATGAACATCCCTGCAGGACTCAGGAGAGTCAGTCCTGCCCACGCCAAACCGGCACTTCTGTCCTCAAGGCCCCAGCAGGGCTCTCAGAGGAACACCACTGAGCGCGTCTCAGCTGTCCTGCGGTCGACGTGCACAGTCCTTGTCACGTCCTTCAGGGTGGAGACGGTTCCTGCTTCTCGTTCACGTGGCTCTACCTCCCCCACAGTGCCACGGTCTTCTCCCCTTGGCCAGCAGGACTGGAGAGGTAATGGAAGTCCCCAGCTCCCTCTGCTCCTCTGTGAGAGGAGGTGCCTTTTCCCAGGGCGAGCGGAGGGTTCAAGTCCTTGCCAGTTCCAGCAAGGACTCCTGAGTGCTCAGTAAACGGCGACCCGAAGCACTTTAGTGGGGTCAGTACATATTCGCTGAACTCAGTTAGAGACAGGGGGTCTGGAGCTCCAAACAAGATAAAGCTCTATGAAAATGTGCATGGATAAATATGAGAATTTGCAGTGGAAGCCTTCCCGCCCCGCCCCCACTCCTCCTCATAAGGGGAGACGCCAGCCCCCCAGCCATTGCCCAGGGCAGCATGTGCAGGGTATCAGTGAGCATCTGCCCCAACTTCTGCCTCTGCTGTCAACCATATCATGCCAAGAAGATTGCCTTTCCTACAATTCCTTTTATTTTACACTTATTATTATTACTATTTTTGTTTTAAGTTTTGGTCATAGGGCACACGTGCTTGCTGGAGAGAGACAGAAACAGAGAGAGGGAAAGTGAGCAATCGCCTCCCAGGGATACAGCCATGCCACGATCCCTTCTCCATTCTCCTCCTGGGATTTCAGACACGCACACACATGTGCTTTGTGGGATTTCAACCCCCCCCCACCCGTTAGGGATTCAAACCACAGTCAGCCAAGTGGGAATCCAGTGCCTTAAACACTATGCCACTTGCAAGCTCTACAATTCCTTTTAAAAACACAAAGGAGATGTGAGAGGTGACCATGGATCAAGGGTGACCTAGTGAACAGGTGTGGCAAGATCACTGGGTAGCCCAAACCCTAGCCCGGGATACACCCGCTGTGCCGACATGCACCACCAAGACGTCAGAAGCCACCATGTGAGGGCCAGCCGTGCACCAAGCCCTTGCATCACAAGGGCTGAGTTAATCAGCAAAACTCCTTCCATGCAAGACAAGTTTTCCTTTCCCTCGTTTTCCAAGCCCTTGCACCAGATATCTTTTTACCCGTGCCCTGAGTTAATCAGCAAAACTCCTCCCATGCAAGACAAGTTTTCCTTTCCCTCGTTTCAAATGGAGACCCTGAGACGTGAGGGTTAAAACTCTCCATGCTCAAAAGGCCTGGGAGCTCCGAGCTGGCATTTGCACCTGGGCCTGGCAGAGTGCCATGCCTGTATCCTCCCCCTGCACCTCCCTGCTCCAGATCCACACCCAGGGGCTCCACACCCGTCACCTCACCACCCGAATACACGCACGCACACGCACACACTGACCAGGAATGATTAGGATTCTGGCATGGGAAGTGTTATATATTGAATTGTATCCTTTTAATTTGTTATATTGAAACCCTAATGCCCAATGTGACTGTATCTGAAAGTAGGGATTTTAGGGTGGTAATTGAAGTTATCCGATAAGGGGTAAGATATGGTACTAAATAGTGTAGTTCACGCGTGTCTACACACTTCTCTGTTGGATGACTATTAAGAATCTAGATATTCAGTCCCTGGGTGAAAAAAAAAAAGTGTCTTTTCTAAAGAAATAAAATGGTTTCAGAAGAAAGATGTCCATGTTTTGACAGTTGGCGGTTTTCACTGTGTAATGCACAACTCCTTTAATTAGCGTCTAGCCAATTGGCAGTTGGTAAACCTTGATAGTGTACACAGTTTCCAGTCAGTTTTTCAGTAGACAGAGGTTT